CGTGCCCAAGATCACCAAGGCAGGCCAACATGACAACCCAACCCCTTCTCTCGTTTTTTTTTTTTTCAAACTGTAAACTCTCATTTTTATAATCTGTTTCAGTCTTTTTTCCATCTTCCTTTATTCATTTTTCAACTATGCTCATTCTTTTTCGAAGTAAACATATGTAATTTCGTGGGTATGAGATTGTTTGTAGATGGACAGGGCATCCATCTTGGGTGATGCCATAGAGTATGTAAAGGAGCTGCAAATGCTAGTGAAGGCACTGCAGGAGGAGCTGGAGGAGACAACTGAGGAAGAGCGGCAGCAGCAGCAACAGCAAGGGAACGGAGGCGATGGTGGTGCTCCTCCGGCTACGACCCCTTCCTCTGATTGCAACAACCATGGCGGCTTTAGCGTCATGGAGGAGCGGGTTGAGGAATCCTCATCCTCTAATCACCTGCTGCATATCCCCAACATCAACAATGACTGTTCCGATGACAAGGCTCAGCAGCAGCAAATGGAGGTATGTCCGATCTCAGAACAGATATCACGGCTCGCTCGTTCTCTTCTTCATCTCTTTGCATTACTTGATCTCCAAAAACCACCTAATAGTGAAATAAGGAATGGTGATTTGTTTTCTGTTTGTTTTCAGGTTCAGGTTGAGGTGAGCCAAGTAGGCGCCCATGAGTTCAACCTGAAGATATTTTGCGAGAAAAGCAGTGGTGGTTTTGCGAGGCTAATGCAGGCCATGGATGCCTTGGGCCTCGAAGTAATCCATGTTAATATCACTACTTACATGAGCCTCGTTCTTAATGTCTTCAAAGTCGAGGTATGTCTTAGAAAGGACACTACTTACATGAGCCTCGTTCTTAATGTCTTCAAGGTCGAGGTATGTCTCAGCAATCCTTTCTCTGGGACAGGGCCGCCTCCCTCTCGGTTCTGAGAATGCAAATTAGTGTGTTTGTGTTGCCATTCTCTGGGACAGAGCCGCCACCCTCTCGGTTCTGAGAATGCAAATTGGTGTTTGTGTTGTTGCCAGATGAGGGATAACGAAGCTATACAGGCAGAGCATGTGAGGGATTCACTTCTGGAGCTCACCCGCAATCCCAATGGCTGGCCTTCCCCTGTACCGAAATTGCAGCATGTCCACTTGCGGGAGCTTCCGCCACCAATCGGCGCCGCCAACTTCTCCAGCATCCATATTTGATACGGTTGTTTCATATACAATGTTTTGAATATTTTTAGTCTAAGATTTTTTGTCTTTTCTGAAATTAACCATATCAAGCAGTTTTAAATCACTCACTTTGTCTGAATTATGAACTTAATTTGTTTAAACTGCATCATCCTATTGTGGGGTTTGAATTGTTTAATGGTAGCTTATTGCTAATGGTATTCGATATGCAAACCTTGAAACCATTTCATTGCATGCAGATTTTTATCATTTTGTTGAAGAAATCTTATCGGATTAAATTCTCGCCCATGCTTTTGCTCTTTATGATACTAAAGGCATTGTGGTGAGGATGTGATGCCTTGAGTTCTATTCTTAGTGTGGGCATGAGCATAGGACCTCTTCTCACGTGTGACTATTTATACATTAAAAACATAAATATATAGGACAATCCTCTCACACAAAATGCCACAGAGTTGAGACAAAGGTGTTATTAGCAAAGTTCATGGGTGTTTTGTCATAACTAGAGTGGCATATAGATAACAAATTTATCCGACGAACAACATCCAAGCCATTCTTGTCTTAACAAATTTATCTGTTGAACAACATCCAGCTGTTCTTGTCTTAACATAAACATTCATGTTTCTTACTTCTTGCTTTCTCTATTATTTCAATGCGGATCTTATTTTTTCTCTCTTCATGGCGATTCCTTATTTGCAAATTGGAAGTTGTAGCACTCGCATCAAGCACGGTGAAGATTGAATCTAACGTAATTGTGGACTATCAATTCTCAAGATTTTCAAGTTTTCATAGATTTGCTCGATCTATACTATTTTTAAAGCTTTAAATTTTATATTTTCATTTTTAACATAATTTTGGTCCATAAATTTTCAAGATTTTCAAGTTTTCATAAATCTGCACGTTCTATGTTATTTTTAAAGCTTTAAATTTTATAATCAAAGACAAAAATATATTTTAAGACTATCACAAAGATTTTTAGTATTGAAACCACATTTCTCGACACTATTTGAATGTGCAGTTTACTTTGATTGTATAGATCCTCGGCTCTACCCTTTATGTAATGATTGTATTTTTCTTAAACTTAGTAGTAGATTTATTTTAATACAATATGGAAACTAAAAAACAGAAAAAACCCGGCCCCTTGCCGGTTCCGGTTTTGAGCAGTTTTGGTGATCGGCCGGTATTTGAAAAATAAAAATTCAAAAAAATATCTATAAAATATAAAAAATAAGGAATTTGATTTGTAATAGATTTTTTAATATTTTTTACATTATGTTAAATATATAAAATTGCTTTGTTCATTAATACTCACTTTTAATATCCATGTCTTCATTAATTTTCAACTTCATTTGAATGTGTTTTGTTTTAATCATCTTTATATGCTTTTCCTATTTTAGTAGATTTTTTTTTTGCATATTTTTCATTTTTTTCAACAATTTTTTGGCTGCATGGATCTTGTTCAATTAGAATGGTTGAATCGATCGATTTACTGATTAGACTGATTAAACCACTTCCGGCTCCTTTCTCAGTTAACCGTTCCGATTTGATTTTACAAACACAGTAAAAGGCATGTCCGTCGAAATGATACCTTCTCCTTTAGTTTGAAGAATGAAGTAATCAACATTCCTCCTCTAGATTGAAGTAATGAACATCAAGTCAAGGCCTAAAGACAAGGGCAAGGCTCGGGCTGTCAACTTGGTGAGGCCATCATTCGAGGAGGGTCACTACATTGAGATTAAAACCATGCTTTTGACCCCTCTCTTCCAAGGGGGTCCGAATCATGAAAAGACTTACACCAGGTGTAGGCATCCCGATCAAGAAACCCAACCAATAAGCACCATGTTGAAGAAAATAAGCAAAAGAATTGATGCAGATGGATGGACGTAATGTTTTTATTTTAAATTTTTAGGAGACTTAATTTGTTAGAGATAATTGTTTGAAATAGGATTAATATGTTTTTCTTTTTTGGTTAGTTTGATAAAGTTTAATTTGTAGCAAGTTTTTTTTAAAGATAATGAGAAAGAGAGTCTTTTTTGTTTAGGTCAACCTTTAGGAAGGTTTTTAATTGGATGGGGTTTATTATTTAGTTGGGGATGTAGATAAACGCATCTAAAGGCAATATATTGTTTGTTTAGTTATTATTTAGTAGGCAAATATTTTAGGAGGCTTTGGAAGTGAATAAAATGAAAATGACCCATTATAATAGATGGTTATGTTTTGATGATAGGAAAAAACAAACATCAACAATTTAGAGAGAGAGAGAGCCTTTGTGATTTTTTTTTTTTCTTTTCTTTTTGTGTTTCTTGTTACGAGTATGCTGTAGGAGGTCTCAACGTATTTTTCATATACGTGAGGTAGTATCTGAGCATCGGTTCTTGTGGATCGTGGTGTTCATCACTAAGACATCATGGGTGGTTAACAACCGGGTACCGGGAATAAACCCATCCAGCAAGAACGAGACATTCAAGATATTTTGTCATTTATGGCAAATCCTACTTGTTTAACATTTTTGAAAATCTATTTTTTTTAAGTACTTTTTAATCAATTTTTTGGCAAATATGTGTTAAATGTCAGAATTTTACTTTTAAAGCCTAGACACTACCTCGAATCTACTGAAGCACCCAATGGCTTCACTTCCCAACCAAACGAAATTGGATTTGCAGCTAAATTGGAATAGCAAACTAAATTTTATTTGAATTTGACTCAACTAATGTACCCATGTCAGTGTAGTTATTAAGTGGAATTGCATTACTTGCTCTAGGTCACAAAATATCTTCTAAAGTCTATGTATAATAATCATGAGCTGCATGATAGAAACTAATACTTAGAGATGAATAGTCAATAGACCATGGTCATGAGAGAGCTAAAATAAATAAATAAAAATTAATGAAAATCTCTTCATTCAGATTCAGAACATTATGATTATGTCAATAACAATACATACAACATAATTTTTTTACAATGGCTACAAGAACATATCGGTATATTGCACATTAATGCATCTATGTAAATGAACAAATATACTTTTTAACAAAAACATTTCAATTAACAAAAAAGAAAATAAAAAATACCACCATAATATTAGATTAAGTCATTAAAGACAAAAAAAATACGTCGCAAGTTTAGATTTTATAGTATTAAAAAAAAAGTGGACATAAAGTTAAATATCTGAGTTCCTTCTCATAAAAATTGCAAATTAATAAGATAAAATTGAAGATAATTATTTCAAATTTAAAAAATACTTTTTTTATAATTAAATGTTTTAGAAAAATTATTTTTAAAAAATCACTCAAGCAACTAAAAGTTCATATTAAAAAAAAAAAGCGAAATGAAAAGGTACATGAAATTCATATCTATGATCTCGACTGTAAAAATCAAGCACCAAATTTCGACTTTTCGACCAAATTAGGACTGCAATCTTTTGCATAACTCCGTGATCTCCAAAAGCCTTAAAATTTGACAGATAAATGATAGACAAGGTCCCAAAGTAGATCGGTTGGTGGAATGTTTTCAACTCAAAAATGAAAACCTGAGTTGCAGCCCTGAAATACAAAAAACGAGCACCAAATTTTGGCTTTTCGATCAAATTAGGACTGCAATCTTCTGAATAACTCTGTGATCTACAAAAGCCCAAAAATTTGACTGAGAAAGTATCAAACAGGGTCCAAAATTGATCGGTTGGCAGAATTTTTTCAACTCAAAAATGAAAAACTGAGTTGCAGCCCTAAACTGTAAAAATCAAGAACCAATTTCGGCCCTCCAACCAAATCACGACTGCGATCTTTGAGTAACTCTGTGATCTACAAGATCACCAAAATTTGATTGAGAAATGATAAAAAACAAGCCAAAAAATTGATCGATTGGCAGATTTTTTTCGTCTCAGAAATGAAAAATTGAGTCGATGCCCTACTATGTAAAAATTGAGCACCAAATTTTGGCAATTCAATGAAATTAGGACTTCAATCTTCTAAGTAACTCTATGATCTACATAATGCCTAGATTTTTATTTGGAAACAACAAAAGAACGTGTCGAAAATCTCAAGTTGGGCTGAAGTTTTTCACAATAGTGAAGAACAGCAAAAAAAAAGTCAAAAATTTGATTTCGGGTATATTTCCGGATGCAAATCCATCAATTTATGCACCTATTTCAGCCAATAGTTGACTATAAAAGGCTTAATAAGCTTGAAAAAGGTGGAAAAAATGAATCAAATTCGAGGTCACGGTTTTCTGTATCAAATAACTGGCTACTATGGGAAATAACGGCAACCAGTGTAAAAATACCCGTATTTCATGATACTGCCCAAAATTACACAAACCGGTTCGGTTAGCAGAAAACTGGCCGGTTAGTTAGAAATCTGGCCGACTCGTGTACTAATCGATTGGTTTTGGTTCGGACATTTTAGGGGCAAGTAAAACGTACAACTAGCACCTCAAAATTGGGGTTAACTGGAACCGGGAGGGTCCCGGTTCCATTCTTACGGCTGGTTTCGGTTAGAATTGGTTATTTTTTCTTTCATTTGATCTCAAGCTACAAGGTGTAGTCATCTGGATTTTTTAGGCATGAAGTGACCAATAGAAACCGAAGTGGTGGTCCATGTTCTCTACTTAATCATTTTAGTATGCATTATATTGATCCAGTGGAGAGATTGCACCTCCAAGATATTATATATAATGTAATAAAAATAATGTAAACACGCATGTATGGTGTGTCCGTTAATGAATGGCATTGAGACATGTATTGTTTTCCTCTCTGTTTCCTCGTGATTCCAATGATGTCGTAATCTCGATTCCATATTGGTCGATTCCAACTAGGTTGGAAACTCGATTATAAAAATCTAGGAATCTCTCTTCCATTTTTGCAAGGATCTCAATCATATTTTGGTCGAATCTTTGATTCCTAGAAATAGAAATCTTCAAGCCGGTGGTGATTCTGCGCTTTCGATTTCTACATCGATTCGGTTTAGGAGTTGCTTTCGGTAACTATGTTAAGGATTCTAGAGTGCAGCATTATAAAATGGGTCATTGTAGTATAGAGTCTTTAAAAAAGTTGTGTAAATAAGGACTTATTTCCTCTAATATTGATCGTCCTAGTGAGTTTATTTGTCATGTTTGTCAACTGGGAAAACATGTCAAGTTGCCATTTGTTTCTAATAATAAAAGAGCTTCTTCTTCGTTTGAGGTAGTGCATTCTGTTGTATAGGGTCCGAC